TTCTAACACCGTTATCAAGCAAGTGATATACAAAGTGTGGTTGGCAAGTATATATATATATATACTGAACCAAATTAAAACTTCACAATCCTAAAATTTTAACATTTTGACCAGTTATCATTGTGGGCCCTTATTGTGTATTTAAACAGTAATGGCCACGTATTGTCTTCAGATAACACCCGTTTTTGTGCAGGTGAATCGATCAAAATCATGTGCACAGCACTATAGTGGCAAAAGTGTTTTTTCACGTGCAACTGGTCATCCGTGGCAACCTCAATGCTGCTGCTTACCGCGACCAGGTACAGAACTTCTGCCTTTTATGGCAGCATGGACCCGGTTTGATCTTCCAACACGACAATGCCAGACCCAACACAGCAATTTTGACAAGGAATTTCCTTCAGAATGCCGACCTGACTCCCATCGAACACGTCTGGGATGCTCTTGGCAGAAGTCTGCGCACTCTCCATAATCAACCACAGAATTTGCAAGATCTTGGCACCATTTTGCAGCAACAATGGCGGAGTCTTCCCAATCATGTGTTCACAAGCTTCACAAGCACCACAAGGTCCATGCTGAGGCGTTGTGTGGCAGTTGTCAACGCACATGGTGGCCATACACGCTACTGAACTTGTGTGCCATCAGATTCTCGTGCTTGGGACTTATGATTTAAACTGTTGATGTTATTACTGAATACCATGGTGCTTGGAACAAATTATGGTTACCACCGATTAAAATCCTTCTTTGGACATTAATGATTTTTTAAAAATTACCTTCTCTGATACATTTGTCCGTTGTATATCATATATGGGATTACTTTTAAAAATGTGAAGTTTTTAATTTGACTCAGTATATATAAGTAGGAGGCAATGTTTATACAGTAGAGTAGATATTGTTATACTGGAGTAGAGAAGCCTGTTATGTACACACAAGGGTAGTGATGACAATCATTGGTGAAGTCAGTGACATACACAAAGGATGAAGCCAGTAATATTCACAAAGACCCTGTCAAAGCCTGTCTCCTAGTCTGCCTCCTAGTCTGCTCCAGAGACACTGTTCACTACAATACGGCCCAGCACCTAGCCCGCCTCCTCGCACCCCTTGGTGAGACTGCCAAGTCCTTTGTGGCAGATTTGTCAAAATGTTGTAAGAAGATTCTCGACATCCCCCAACCAGGAACTTAATCAGCTACGACGTTGTCGACCTGTTCACGAATGTACCCGGAACGAGGCCATGGAAATCATAACACTCATACTCATACACTCCTGTATCAGCTCAACATACTTTACCTGGAGAGACAAACCCACGGCCTCCCTTTTTGATCCCCACTATCACCCTTGATCACCGAGATATTTATGACCTACCTTGAAGAAAAAGCACTGGAAACATGCCCAATAACTCCCCTCTGCTGGTTCCGCAAAGTTGATGACACCTTTGTCATCCTACATCCCAACAATGACCTCAGAACTCGACTGGACCACTTGAATTCCCAAAACCCAGGAATGCAGTTCACCATGGAGGAAGAAACCAATCGACAGCTCCCCTTCCTTGATGTACTTCCACTGTTTATCGGAAACCTACCCACACAGATCAATACATACACGATGCCTCCAACCATCCACCTCAAGTCAAGAAAGGAATTGTTTCAACCCTAGTAGGACGAGCTCACAATGTCTGTTCCCTGAAGCAACATCTAACTAGAAAGTGTTTTTACTCGTAAAAACATATGTCTCCCCCCATTCCCCTAACCCCCATTCATTCGTTTACTTCACGTTAAACCCCATCTCTTCATTCCCACCCTCCATTACTAAATAACAGAGACAAAAATAGAACTCCTAGAAATTTCAAACAACTAATGGGCACCACTTCAGTGCTGGGTTAATGTGTATACAAAGTTTCGCGAAAAAATATTAAACGGTTTCTGAGTTATGGTCAGGAAACAAAGCTTACCCCCATTCAGAGTCTATGTTCAACTTATATCCATGGAAACGAGAAAAAATAAAAATGTCAAAAATCTCTAAATAGCAAAAGGCACCACTTCAGTGCTGGGTTAATGTGTATACAAAGTTTCGCGAAAAAATATTAAACGGTTTCCGAGTTATGGTCCGGAAACCAAGCTTACCCCAATTCAGAGTCTATGTTCAACTTATCTCCATGGAAACGAGAAAAAAATAAAAATGTCAAAAATCTCTAAATAGCAAAAGGCACCACTTCAGTGCTGGGTTAATGTGTATACAAAGTTTCGCGAAAAAATATTAAACGGTTTCTGAGTTAATATGGTCAGGAAATAAAGCTTACCCCAATTCAGAGCCTATGTTCAACTTATCTCCATGGAAACGAGAAAAAATAAAAATGTCAAAAATCTCTAAATAGCAAAAGGCACCACTTCAGTGCTGGGTTAATGTGTATACAAAGTTTCGCGAAAAAATATTAAACGGTTTCCGAGTTATGGTCCGGAAACCAAGCTTACCCCCATTCAGAGTCTATGTTCAACTTATCTCCATGGAAACGAGAAAAAATAAAAATGTCAAAAATCTCCAAATAGCAAAAGGCACCACTTCAGTGCTGGGTTAATGTGTATACAAATTTTCGCGAAAAAATATTAAACGGTTTCCGAGTTATGGTCCGGAAACCAAGCTTACCCCCATTCAGAGTCTATGTTCAAGTTATCTCCATGGAAACGAGAAAAAATAAAAATGTCAAAAATCTCGAAATAGCAAAAGGCACCACTTCAGTGCTGGGTTAATGTGTATACAAAGTTTCGCAAAACAATATTAAACGGTTTCTGAGTTATGGTCCGGAAACGGTGGGAACGCCAACGCCGACGCCGACGCCGACGGGAACCGTGCCAAAAACAATATGTCTCCCTCCATTCTGGGGGAGACATAACTACTGAACTTAGCCACCTCAAACAAGTATTTACACAGTATAACCTCCATCCTGAGCAACTTTTACAATAGACACCTGGAATCGTTCAGTTGTGTCTTGTCTGACCTTGTCTATGACATGTCCCAATTTGCCATTGAACATCTTGGGAGCAGATATCAGTTGTGACATTACCAACCTTTGTGTGGTTGTGCTGGTAGTTGTTGACGCTGTACCAAGATTAGCTGTGAAGACATCCAGACTTGGGTGGAGAGTAAGTCTTCCTGCATTCTGACTATGGTGTCTAGCAGGCTGTGGATGAGTCCAACCTGATCCGTCCTTATAGTCATGGGAGTCTCTCCGGGTATGCCGTCATATGATGTCTGCAATGATGTGCCCGATTCCGGCGACAAACCAGTCAATATATGCGCCAATGTCCATGAAATGTCTGGGCATCAGAGACAGGTCTTTAATCCAGGAAGCAGGTAATGTGACTTTAGTATTAGGGTTGCGTACTAGCTTCATAAAAGATCTCGTCCAAAACTTGATGCTCCGGAGAGGAGAATCATAGGTTTGATACAGGTAAGGGTAGCCGTTCATCTTGTCTGAGCTTGAGTAGACTTTCAGAAGCCTTGCCTGCATAACTCGGCCACGGCAATGTCTGGTGGATATGTTGAGATGATGTAGGAGCATGACATCCTCCGTATTCCGGCATTCTCTCTGCATAATCCTGTTGGGGTGAATCGTCAGACTGATTAAACTCCTCATTTAGGTCCAACTCCGACACAGAATGATCGTGGGTAACTCCTGGGAGGGGTGGATGTTTGTCATAATCCATACATCCATGTGTTCCCCGTGCGGTTCATCATCTGCTGGTGTCCAGGACTCCGCTATGAGTAAAGTCAGAGCGGCTTGTGACAAGTGCCCATGTATAACGGAACCCGTATGGGAATGATGGTCCTCCATCAAACTGCTAGGCTGTCCCATGATGTAATCTCCCATGCGGTCCGAGTGGTCGGCTTAGGTTACATCTGTTGATGGTGACTATGTGGTTGTAGTGACGCTCCCGTACCGGTCTGCGGGAGACTGTATGGGGTCATAGATGAGGAAGATGGCCTTGTGGTACCCTGACAGGACCCAAGCCTTGCTTGGGAGCTTCTACCGGGCTAGTTCGTATGGTCATCTGGGATAGGCTGTGGTCTGAACAGACTCTTCTTAGCCAATACTATCTGCTTCTTTCTAAGCATCTCCAGCTCCTGAGATATAGCTGAGAAGCGGGACTCAAACAGCGACTCCTTCTTCTTCTGCTGGTTGAAGAGCTGTTTCAACATGTTCATAGAGAATGCAGAAGTAGTTTCATTAGCAGAGTGGTAGGTAGAGCTGCTGTGATCTGAACAGATTGCTGTTCCCCATGTGTTCTCATGGTCAGAGGACTCTTCTTAGTCAATACTGTCTGCTTCTCTTCTTCTAGTTTTAGTCAAGGCTTCTGCTAGTTTGTTGAATGGCTTCTTAGACAGAGTAGGGCACAGATCACATCTTGCCTCTTCAGTGCATTTGGCCTCTCTGCACTTCTAGCAGTTGCTGTGATGATCTCCCATGATCATAAAATGGCCACACTCCTTACAAGCAGGAGGAGGGGGAGACTCCATGACAATCTCACAAACACCTCACACCAGCAATACGTGAGTTCGATCATCACTGCAATTTAGCAGCTCTTAATATGACTTAATATATCTGTTTTAAGAAAACTACTGAACAATCTTAGATTAAATGTCACTACAACCAAGTGCTTGATCGTTACAACTATAACAATAGGTGTTGACTCAAGCACACAGAGGAAAGAAGTGAGGTTTCCTGCCATTCCACACGTCATAGCTTGGGTTGCTATAGTGCTAATCGGGAACAACTAATTGTGTGTAATTGACATTGAGAAGAGGATGTCTGTTGAAAATATGAAAATTTAGCTAGTGTGACTGAAGCCAAAATACGGGATTTATGGCAAAGATGTTATTGAGGTAGAGATTATAAAAATATGGTTGTAATGAGATTCAGATATATATATCAAACATCAGTCTGGACAGAGTTAATATGAGCAGCTTAAATCTAAAAACTTTAATTAGAAACAATATTTGACAAACCTTTAGCATGTTGAACTCATAATGCTGATAACCTTTAAAGCTCTCTGCAACTGCTGACATGGTACGTGATGTTTTCTCCCAGAAATGTAGAAGAGTTGACTGGTAGTTGGCTAGGACATGAGAGAACATGTTACACCGACTGGCTGCAAGGAGGTCCACTTTCTGCATCACATCCAGTTTCAGTTTGTCAAACCTAGCTTTTGTTTTGCGTACCTGTCCCTGGACCTGCATAATAAAACATGAAACAATTGTTATCATTTTTAATAATTCAGATAATACTACTCCTATCACCCAAACATTCTTTCCAATATCTACAACTAGATGAAGAATATTCGGGAGGTGGGTGGGATTACTCCTGATGTTATGGAGGAAGTATCCTTTAAATCATTAACAAGTATAGTCTGGATTGTTAATACCGTAAATCGCTGTGTATAATGCGACCCAACGTATAAGACGACCCCCCTGTACACGCCTTCAAAATCAACCCAAAATCCTATACTCCGTGTATAAGGCAACCTGGAATGAAGCACATCACAAGTGTGCACACAAACCTTATATATGGAATAAATATATGTTTATCTTGCGTTGTTTTTTTCTACAATGATAGGTCACGTGTGTAACTCCAGCACATGTTGCCATTTTGTGTTTACACGGTACGACACCAAATTCGTGCCCGTAAAATAAAATTCATGTATGAAGTAATAACATATAAGAGACAATGGTGAATAATTTAATCGCAAATTAACTATCTTGTAACTAACTAGGCTTATGTTTGCTTCACATTCAGCGTGTTTATTCCACAATCACTTGTACACACTGTCTCCAACAGTTGTTAATACAACTGTAAAAACAGCGGGAATTGATTTCAGCTCCACAGGTTATCACATGTTAGGTCACATGTGCAATATGCAAATGTCTATCGGTACTTCCGGCTCTCTACTCATGGATGTTGATTATTTTACCGTGTCAGCTGGTTTGACAATCTGCATCGAGGCGAGGGTCATTTCAACTTTATTTGCAGAAATTATTAAACTTTATTCAAGGAAAAGAGATACAAATCATGATTATGTATGGAAATAGTTATTGGAACAGTTATTTAGGACGAAATGCGAAGTTTTATTGTCAAATGCTGGGCTGGCTATCGGACGCCGATTGACATCGCCAGTGGAAAAAAATGTGAGATCTTCGACTCTGTGTATAAGACGACCCCCCTTCTTAACCCCCTCATTTTAGGTACGAAAAACTCGCCTTTTACACAGGGATATATGGTAGTTAAGGGATTGGTGAGTTCTGACTTTCTGACTACTGGATCTAAAAATCAAAATTTACCAGAGATTCTTTGAATTTGAAAATGGGGTCAAGGTCACCAAAACCTACTGGTGTCTGCAGAGTCTGTATATACACCATAGTTCCAAATATGAAGACAATCCAGTGTTTAGTTCTTAAGATATCGCGGCAACACCATTTTCCAACTCCAAAAGCAGATTTGCCTGCTGTGACCTTAAAAAAGGGGTCAAGGTCACCAAAACCGACTGGTGTCTGCGGAGTCTGTATATACACCATAGTTCCAAATATGAAGACAATCCAGTGTTTAGTTCTTGAGTTATCACGGCAACACCGTTTTCCAACTCCAAAAGCAGATTTGCCTGCTGTGACCTTGAAAATGGAGTCAAGGTCACCAAAACCGACTGGTGTCTGCGGAGTCTGTATATACACCATAGTTCCAAATATGAAGACAATCCAGTGTTTAGTTCTTGAGATATCGCGGCAACAAACAGGTGGGACGTACGGATGGACGGTCGTGAATACTATGTCCCCCGCTCCGCGCTTTCGAGCGGCGGGGGACCATAACATCTCTGTTAGGCTACTAAAATAAAAGAACTTAAATTTGGGTCATGTGCAACATAACTTCAGCTCTCCCATGTTTACACCCATAGGGGGTAGACAAACAACGATCTGAGGCTACTCATGGCAATACACACAACCACATAATACTGCACAGATGCTGTAAGAATACTTACTTTCCTATTATTTCCTCAGGATATTCATTTTCTTAGAGGTTTCACAAAGGAACTGTGACAAGTTTTGATTTTGTTGATTTTCCCTGATTGGTGGCCCCTCTGTTGTTATTGCCAACCTTACCTTCCTAAACTTTTCCAGCTGTTTGTAGGTGTCGGGGTCTAATTCTTCAGATATATTTTTCATCCAGAGCAGAGCTCCTCTGTATTCCGTGCGTGCTCCCTCCATTCGGTTAATCGTGACAAGGGTGTCTGATATTGCCCTATATCGGAATGTTTCTACTTCCTGGTATAGCCGCACTAATGGAACACGTAATGCCAATCTGAAAAAAAGGAAACAGATCAACACTACCAGAGGTACAGAAGCTCAACTTTTTTGGATGAATTTACACTTTAATGAAGACCTACTTGACCTGATTGCCATATTTTCTTGAGTAAAGTGCGCACCCCCACCTCTAGCGGATTCAGTATTTTGGTGAAAAAAAATAATTCAAATATGCGCAGAGAAAAATTACCCCGTACCCCTTCAGTGAATTTCGGTAACATACGGGTGATGAAAAACTTGGTCAGTACAAATTTGAAATTTGAGACAAAAAAAATCACCAGATATGTTGATTTACCATTTAAATTGTATTTTTGGTTCAGCTAGGCATTGTTTTACATCCAGGGATTAAGATTACCTTGTGTATTTTCTCACTAAGCCGGCAATCAGCTGCACACATGTTCTTTTTTAAATCTACCGGTGATTCGGTCAAGACACACCCAATGATATAACTTTCTTAGCCCTGCCTGTATTGTCATCAAACATCATACGATAGTTATCTTTGTGAATATTTCTAAGAATAGTACATCTATTACATCATAGCCAATATTCTTGAAATTTGCTTAACATCACACAAAAATATCTTTAGCTTTTCAACAGACATCCTCTTCAAGTTCCTAATCAGTTGTTAGGAGTACTGCATGTTGTGCCAAATGCCTCAGTGCATGCTTAGAGTGGGAGACACATCACTTCTTTCCAACTCCATCTAACAGATGTAGATATATCAGGGAGGTGGGAGGGACATTTTCCAGATGCAATAGAGGTAGCATTCTTAGAATTATACACAATGATAATTATTGTTTGATAATTCCTTCCAATACCTAACCTCTATTACATCATAGTTAGAATAAACCAGAGGGTTTGATGGGATCTGGTATATAGCAATACAGGATTGGTGACAGTTAATGACATATTATGAACACAGAAACATTTAAGCAAATGCACAATACCTTTTTCTTGCACTGTAAATACTATTACTGTATTTTCTTGAGCATAGTGCACACCCAAGTATAATGCCCATCCCCCTCTAGCGAATTCAGTATTTTGGAGAAAATAAATAATTCGAAAATTATGCGCAGAAGAAAATTACACCGTACCCCTTCAACGAATTCCGGTAAATGAACGGGTGATGAGAAACTTGGTCAATACAAATTTGAAATTTGAGATAAAAAAAAAATCACCAGACATGTTGATTTACCATTTAAATTGTGTTTTTTGTTCTGCTAGGCATTGTTTTACATCCAGGGATTAAGATTACCTTGTGTATTTTCTTGTAAACTAAGCCGGAAACAGCAATCAGCAGTATACATGTTTCCTTGAAATCTACCAGTGATTCTTTGTAGTCACACCCAATGATATAACTTTACAGGATTTTAATGCAAGGATTGGCAAAAATTGTATCTGAAACTATTTTTTTAATCAGGAATAATATAATCCCATATCTTGTTAATTTAGTTGCAGCTTTTACTAAATATATTTAAAATAATAATAACCCTAAGCGAAGCAGCTGAACCCTATTGCCATTTATTATTTTTCACATGGAACCAGTTTGACCAGTCACCGTCGTGGCTCCCGCGCACGTGAGCGCGAGAACTATGTGTTGACATAGAATCATCAAACTATAAAAAATATGACTTTTAACTAGTCAAAGTATGGCATTTATGATATATGTATCCATTCTCTATCAACTAAGTGAATCAAGGCGTAATGTGACCGTAATGTTGCTGTTAATAACAGAGAGTTGTGCGATCTTCCGATTGCTTCACACACGATTTCGCTGAAATTAGTTAAAAACTGCCCCCAATTCATAGGAGAGGACACCATATCACGGGATAGTACGGGTCGCGAGACCCCAGGACCGGCAGATCCCTCAGTCTGGGTCGGCATGACCCCAGGACACCAAAAACATGGGAAAGTCCGGGTCACGAGACCCCAGGACCGGCAGATCCCTCAGTCCAGGTCGGCATGACCTCAGGACATCCATTTATAACATGGTTCCTCCTCCTCTTCTAACATAAGGGTCATCGACCCAGTCTTTTCATGCCTGCGACCGAGCCAGCCCCCTTTTCTGTGCCAATATAATAAATCATTTATCTTATATATTCGTGTTTTGTTGTGGTTGCACAAAATTTAAATTTAATATTTTTGTTTGTGCAGCCATCACAGGTACCCTCTACATATTACATGTACTCACTGCAATATTACCGTCCAGATCTCTACACATATTCTTAACATTATGCCATCCATACCTTATTCTACCTTATAAGCCTATTCATTGGGATCGCTATTAAGTAAGAGACTTCTTTCTATAGGCATTAAAATCTATTGTGAGGTTTTACTTTCCAGTTGGGTTAAATCTCATAAACTGGGACGTTGTAATGTCCCTGGGATTTTATATTATATCCCAGGGATTTTATAGGATATACAAGTCATATTTGCTATAATATCCCAGGGATTTTATATAATGTCCTGGGTATTTTATTAATGTAACTTCCCTTCAGATTGTAACATGTAATGAAATGTAAAATCAAATGACAAATGTTTTCTTTATAATCCCCAGGGATCGAACTCGCAACCTTCATATCAGTAGCCCAGTGAGTGTACCACGAGGCTACAGAGGTATTGATAATCCACACTGGTTTTTAGAATGTCCTTTTCAAGATCCGTACGCCAGCAATAGATATTTTATGCGCATTTCCTAAGGTTATTGGAAAGTATGTTCGAAACATAAAAATGTTGATAAATGTTGTTTTAAGATGGTTTTTTTGGTTTATAAGTTTGGAAAAACACTTTCCCTCTGTTTTGGTAGACAGAGCATGCGCTGGGGGTCGGGAAAAACCATGGGGGCTTCGCCCCCTTGGTTTTTCCCTCTCCCCAGGGCATGCTGTCTACCAAAACCTCGTAAGCGTGTTTTCTCCAATACATAATGAGTGTCATTGCCTTACTGCATTTTCCATGCCGTAACCCATATTCGTGGTAAACATATCCCATCATGCATCATGATTTACTTTATTCTGCGCATGTCTCTTCCTCATTCTCTGCCTTGTTTTCATGCTGGTTGTCAAAGTTGCCACCCTCCATCGCCGACCATCACCTTGGGGCTGGTTCTGTCGCCTTGACTTGTCATTTATTACACTTGGTCGGCCTTTACTGCCCCCAATTCATAGGAGAGGACACCATATCACGGGATAGTACGGGTCACAAGACCAGGACCGGCAGATCCCTCTGTCCGGGTCGGCATGACCCCAGGACACCAAAAACATGGGATAGTCCGGGTCACGAGACCCCAGGACCGGCAGATCCCTCAGTCCAGGTCGGCATGACCTCAGGACATCCATTTATAACATGGTTCCTCCTTCTCTTATAAACCTCTAGTGACGTCACTCTATTGTCTCGCCAGGGTCTTCTTTTACCGACCAAACCTCTACTGGTAGTTTACCGGGCATTCCCAGGGTAAGCCCCGGGCTTTCTGCAAGAAATCCCGGGAGATTTTCTACTGAAAGCCTGGTTTTTGTCCCGAAAAATACCCTCTGTATTGAATTAACTTTCTGCATGAAAAAAAAACAACAGAACATGGCTCAACTATTTATTGATATTAGATGAAATTGAAATTGTGCGTCACAGTTCGATTTAGTTTGTCTTCAGGTCATTGGTCATCTGCTCTTTTTGGATCAGCTTCTTCACGTGATGGCGAGTTCATTTTTTTCAAAATACTAAGTATGTCAGAGACCGTTGCCTTTTGGTTGTCAGAAGTTCTCTTGTAATTTCGAACGGCGTCGCTCCGATGTCCTGAAACAAATTGTTCAGATTACTGAAAGTATTACACATACAGCATACAAATACACTTAAAAACTATTACAGATTCAAAAAACACCAATATTACCATATATATCATAAATAAAAAAAGAGCATCTTACTTGTTTGGAAAAAATATTTCTTTGATATGTTATGACTTTTGCTGAATAACAATTTCTTATTACTGCAGGACTAAAATGTTTATCAACCTACCGGTAATTTCGCAAATCATTTGTTCATCAACGTCACCTTGATACAATTGAGTGGCTGCCGTGGCTCTCAAGGAATGGTTTATCTTCATGCCCTCAATACCGGACGTCTTGCACAGTCTTTTGATGGTAACTTGTAAGGTTATTTCACGCTCGGAGAGTGGATCTCCTAAACGGAATTTAAAGTCATCACTTTCCTTGTCTTCTTCAGCACAGGATGCCGATTCTTTAAAAACTGACTGCGTCAGAAATATATCGTTGTCTGCGTCCATCCTCTTCAGTGGCTCTTCAGTGGCTCTTCATTCGACTGGCTTGAACCACGTGCGCTCATTGTTACAATGGGCCTGAAGCACGTGCGTCACGTGCAGCGCGCGGATGTACTCCCCGCGTATTGCAGTTAAACTCTCAACAGTAAATATCAATGAAGTCATGTTAATACCAATTAGTAAAATTATTTCTAATTCATATTATTTGATCAGTTCATAAATGAGATCAAAAACTTGCCCTCGGTTTTGTTTGGGAAGTATGCCCTCACGGTAATGTCTTTCGATTGGGGGGAAAAAACTTCAAAACTCATTATGGCGTGTATAATGCGCACCCACTTCTACACAGCTGGGTTTTTTTTAAAAACGTGTGCACTATACTCAAGAAAAACATGGTATATGGGCATTTGCATGACATCACTTCCGGTCTCTGACGTCACTTCTGAGCGTTCTGACGTCACTTTCTTTTGTGTTGAGGTCACTTCCATTTCTATGGGTGATCTCATTCAGTTCTAATGACATCACTTCCAGTTGCACTGATGACCTCTTACGCTGTCTTCACTTCTGTTGAACCGTAGATCACCTCCAGATATTCTATTGCGAACCAGTTCTTAAACTATAATCAGTCCCAACCTAGGCTGACATAATGATCAAACTTCACTGGATCTCTTGCCAGCAGACTGATTCTTGGCAAAGAACTCTGGTAGTGATAGCAGAGTGATTCTACTCCAATC